GGAAGTATGTCAATGATGTTCTTAAGAAGTTCAAGATGTAAAACTGCAAGTCGGTTAGTACACCTCTTGTAGTGAATGAGAAGCTGTCCAAGTTTGATGGTAGGAGGAAAGTTGACGCTAAGGAATACAGAAGCTTAGTTGGAAGTCTACTTTACCTCACAACAACCAGACCAGATGTGGTGTTTGCAACAAGTTTGCTTTCAAGGTTCATGACTGAACCAAGTAATGTTCATATGGGTGTTGCAAGAAGAGTGCTTAGGTATTTAAGAGGAACCTCAGATTTTGGAGTTATGTTTAATCCATGTGCAGACTAGAAATTGTTTGCATATTCAGATAATGACTGGGGTGGATCTGTGGATGACATGAAAAGTATTCTTGGCTATGCTTTTTCACTTGGGTCTGGAGTGTTTTCATGGATTTCAAAGAAGTAATAAATTGTGGCTCAATCCACGGCTGAAGCTGAGTACATTGCAACATGTGTAGCAGTGAATCAAACTATGTGGCTTAGGAAAATATTGACAGACTTACGACACAAGCAAGAGGAAGCTACTAAAGTTCTGGTTGACAACAAATCAGCAATAGATATTTCAGAGAATATAGTTTGTTTCAGCAAAAGAAAACATATGAAGATTAAGTACTATGCACTTCATGAAGCTCAACAACACAAAGAAGTGAAGTTGGTCCATTGTCCTTCAGAGTACCAACTAGCTGACATTCTAACTAAGGCTTTGCCAAAAGGTAGATTTGAGTTCCTAAGACTCAAACTTGGTATGATGGAAAAAAGTCTCAAGGAGGAGTATTAGTAAATGAGATCTTTTAGCTTACTTAATAAATTATGTTCATGAATATGTCAAGTTTAATTAAAAGAAGATGAAGTGTCTAGAGTTGATAGGAGTAGCTAAAATGTCAAAAGGTTGTGACTATTCATTGTATCACAATTATTATAAGGCATCCCTCACCCTTATATAAAGAACTCTTGTACTCATCAAAATATATATACAAACACATCAATCAAAGTCAGAATTCTCTCTATTTCTACTTCTTTTCCTATAATTTTCTCCATATTTTCCCTACTTTGCTCAACATTTTATTTACTTTTTTCTTCTTTTGATCAAAGTGTAGGGTATATTGCTATATTTTATTACCATGTCGAGAATTGGCATGTGCCTGATATTTGTTATTTTATTACCTGTTTTTCATCTCCTACTTGCAAGATCTTATTGGTTACAGAGTTGAAGATGCATGTTAAATTTAAATTGTTTCTTTTAGATGAAACTGAGAGTATGAAAGTTTTGCAAGTTAGATGATTTATTTATTGATTTTGCACTATGCATATGTTTCTGGACTCTGGAGTTGAATATCATCCTAGGTATTATATACAATGGATTTATCCCCGCTTCCTCTAATTAATTGTATCTCTTAAAGTTTCATGACTTGGCAACTGTGATAAGAGATTAGAATCAATCTTACCTACTTGTTTTATGTTTTTAAAAGGGAAAATTTTAGTCCTATGTTATCCGGACATAGGTGTGAGTGTCGGATACAAGTATGTCTCTAACGTGGGAATGCTTAATTTTGTTTGTTTTCGAGTTAATTTAGTTCTATATGAAGGATGGTCATATTCTGATACCCTAATCAAAAAGTATCAAAACACGAGTATTTTTTTAAAAAAAAATAAAGTTAAACATTGATCCAGGAAGTGTACCCTTGTTTTAACAATGACATTTTCTCTACCGCTGAGAGTATGTACGGATATTCTCCATTCTAGTTCATTTCAGAACGATGGATCTTTATTTGGCCTCAACTTTTCTTCTCTTCATTCGTCTCTTTGTCTGTTACCTTTTGTTGTCATTCTCATCATTATGATTTGATGCAATTGCTGTTGAGGTTTTGTGTAATCTAAATGAATCGTGCATGAACAAAGCGGCAGACAGTCAATGATGCTAGGATTTGTTTGCTTCATCTCAAGTGGCCGAGAGATGAGGGTGAGTCACACTTTGTCTTGTTTGGTGATTTAAAATTTAATTATGGGCTTATTTCAGATGCAAACAGTCTTTATTGCCCACTCATATAATCTAGTGATAAAAGCAATAATTGTTGGAATCTGCCATGTTTGTTTCTGAATATATATATGCTAGTACTTATCAACATTTGCTCTGCGCCTAATCTACCTGGTCTCTCGTGGCATCTTAATGGCGGAAGCCCTTCCATTCCATTATTACTCTAAATGCACGTCTGATTTGCATCTTCATCAGGGTCCTTGAAAGTGAAACCACTTGATGCATTTATGGTGAGAGCTTGGCCAATTCCACAAATGGATAGGCCAAAAGTTAAAGAGAACAAGGATTAGGGTCAGTCTGACTATATCTATATTCATCAATTTCTAATCACTGATTATGATTGTTAAGTATTGTTATCACGGGTATCAGATATGGAATGATGAATTATCTGTTAAGCTCTTTCATAAACCAAGAGCTTGTTTCAGCTGCTTCTTTCATTTATTGATCGAGGCCAACAACTCAGGTCAAATGGTGAATGATTTGCAGCAGTACGTAGTTGATTTCAAGCATTCTTAATCGCTGTTCGCAGCTTGTTAGGGCAAAATTCGCATTTAAGAAATCATGTGGAGGAAGGAATCACTTTCCCCGGACTAATGGTTATGCCCATGCTGAGGATAATTACTTGTTGATTCCCCTCGTAATGAATGACGGTACAAACGTTTTATGAAAGTAGTATTTAGGAAAGAGCTTTCGTCTTAAAGTAGATGTCATTTACTTATTTGTCTTTGGTACCTATCTTAACCTATGCAGATGAGTTACAAGAAATCATAGTGCCTAAGCTTGCAATTTGCGGCATGTTTGAAGAATGATTCCCAAGTTTGATTAGCAAAGTCCATGCTAATCTTGGCACTAATTTGCAACATGTTGATTGTCGCAAAGTTTAGGTTAAGTGATTATGCTTTTGCCTGTAGTAGTGGTGGATCTAGAAATAAAAAAAAATGAGGGTCCAAAATTATAATACTCTATTTTAAAAAATTTTGGGCATGCAAATTTCCTTATTTTATCTATTTCCATTAACAAATTAAACTAAATTTAAATTTTTTCCTAAAATAATGGGTGTGCAAGTGCTCCCCTAAAGAGCCACATGCATACGCCACTGGCCTGTTGCAGGAGAACTTGGCACTAATAGTTGTGACGTGTGAGCTACGAAGAATCATATTTTTGGCAACTTTTGATTCTTTTTTTTCTTTTTCACAGTGACCTTTAGTCCTCTAGGTGTCCTAAATAAACAAATTAATATATTCTCTGATTTTCCCCAAAATGAGAATAGGTACAAACTTGTTATATTTGTGGCTTCAGGCTTTGTTCTTGCCCAAAACAGGTTGAAAGCTGTTCATTCCCTTGTCTCTTACTCGTTTACTGTTAATTTTGAATTTCGTATTGCAAATATAATACGAATGCTATAGAAATATGTCAAAAGTTTATATGGTGAAGGATATTAATGTATAAATTAAATAATATTCTAAAAACAAGAAAGATGCCATGAAACGAGTAATGGCACCAGCAATGGCAGGCATTTGTTTGTTTTTACGTCTCGAGGGGATAAAGTTATTCTTAGTGATTAGGTGGTGTTATAATGTACATGTGTCAGGTTTGATTCTCAGAGCTGTTATTTTTTGATTGCTTGTTAACAATGCATATAATATTCTCCTCCAAACTATATGATATTCAAAAAGGAAGGAGTGGTAGTGTTTGATGTGATGATGGAATTTGACAAGACTCCAACAAAGATTCTGTCCACTGCAATTGCCTCTGTGTACGATAAATTAGAGGTGTATACAGTTGATGCTATATATAGATGATTAGTTGACTGAAAAGCAAAAGGAAGAGACCAGACGCAGTGGTCGGAGAGGGAAAACACTTTGAATCCTGTATGGCCACGACTTGCTTCTTTTACAAGGGAATCGCAGTGGCAGCACCAATCACCATGGATGGATGGATAACAAAATCCAATGGTAGAATTATAGCTTCCAATACCAAATTTAAGTATTTCTATTTTATCTTGGTACGTCAATACAATTCCCCGATGTTGGTGGCATGCCATCCACGAACTTGTAGGGTTTTGTTCAGCTTTAGTCTCAATCGTATAATTTCTATGGTGGCTGAAAATTGTTGTTGGATTTCGCTCTTCACCTAACCTAACCACCCAAATTGCTTGAATTCTCAAACGAGAAAACCAATCAAGTAGTAGGAAATGCTTTCCAAGATTGAATGTTGGCAAATTTTGGTGATGCTAACTGTTGTTCGATTTTATGAGACAGATTCAAATTAAATAAAACAAATCATTCTTACGGAAAAGAACTCAACTTCTCGCTAAGTGCGGAAATTTTGGCTTTACAATTGCGTGTTTTCAATTTATTCTTTATTGATTTAAGTGGAAACTGCGACTTATGTTCCAACTACCTTCTTATTCAAAACTTGAATTTGATACTTAATAGAAAATTCAGCACGTGGGATACAAGTCAAGCTGACTAGTATGAAACCAAAGATGTGCTGCGCTTGAGTGGTTCGTCTTAGGTATAAGAATTTAACTGGCTATTTATAATTATTTGAATTTACATAAACTAATTTAACACATCAACCTAAGGATGAAAATACAAATAATTTTGAAGATGGAGTGGGATTTCTTAATGAATATGTGAATTGGGGACCTCCATTTTCCAAAGTATCATATCAAGAGAAGCTGCATTGTGAAGCAAAGCAAATTCCTCTCCATAAATCACTATCCCTCGCCCACCAGCCGATCCATATAGTTTTGAATTGTATTAAATTAGTTTATTTAAATAGATTTGGATTTTAACAGTGTTAAAACTAATTGAAGATGGCCCGTGCCAGATGGTTAGGCACAATAAGTAACATCAACATTTTTTCTATCTTCTCTTCTTCCCTGTTGATTTCCACCTACTCGACTTACGAAAAATCAAAGCTTCTCTCCAACTTTTTTTTTTTTGTTGTTGCAAAATTCCCTCACCAACCCTCCAGCCTAGCTTCCATTGCATTCCTGTTAATCACCCTCATCTTTTTTCTTACTCTGTTTCCTTTTCCAATTACCTCTCAGATTCTTCGCTGGCAATCAGCATCGAGCAAATCACATTTCCAGTCATGGATTCTTTCAGTACATCACCCGATTTTCGTTTTAACCCAAATTCAAACAACATTGACGATGCGGATCGAGATTCCGAGTTCTCGGGCATTCTCGAAATCTACCTTCATCATGCAAGGAATATTCATAACATTTGTATCTACAACAAGCAAGATGTTTATGCCAAGTTCTCTCTCACCTATAACCCTGATGATACCCTCTCAACCAGGATCATCGTTGGAGGTGGAAAGAATCCCGAATTCAACGAGAGCCTGATTATGAAGGTCACCCAGATCGATGCTGTCCTTAAATGCGAGATTTGGATGCTTAGCAGGGCCAGAAACTACTTGGAAGACCAGCTTTTGGGCTTTGCTTTGGTCCCCATTTCACAAGTTTTCGGCAAAGGAAAAATCACGCAAGATTATAGCTTGTCTTCCACTGATCTTTTCCATTCTCCAGCCGGAACTGTCAAACTCAGTCTTTCTTTGAACACATCAATGGCTGTCAATTCTCAGACCACGACAACCAACTCTTCGATATCGGCAGAAGTTGTATTGCTTGACCGGAAAATATCCGAATCCCAAGTTATTTTAGACCCTGTTGAGTATTCCAGGATAGAATTTACCGACATCAATATTGTTAGGGAGAATCAGCAAATGGTTTCACAGTACTTCGATGGATTGAATTCAAGGCCAGGAATTGCTTCATTCCTTCAACTCGGTGCCTCTCATCAGCATGTCCAAGACAACGAAATGACAGCAAATTCATCTGAAGAAATCCATGGAGGATCCGTTTCTCCCAACGGAGGCCTCCAAAATTCTGGGTTTTTGAGTTCATCAACAACAAGCCTAAGCGATGATCGCAACACAGCCGACTCGAATGAAAAGAAGAGTCGTCTCGGTGGGGAGCCATCGAATTCTCTCAACGCATCTGTCACTACCGAGGCTAATCCGAGCCCAGATGGTTGTCCCGAGACCCCTACTTCGAACAAAGGAAGCGAAGTTCGAGACGAGAAAGACCCTTATTATTCGAGCAAACAAGTGTTTTCAGCTCCATTGGGGAACATCAATTTGGAGGCAGAACAATCGGCAATGCAGCAACAGATTGTAGACATGTACATGAGGAGCATGCAACAGTTTACCGAGTCTTTGGCTAAGATGAAGCTTCCCATGGATCTTGACAAACCTGGACATGAACGTCGTGGTGATTTGATTCACAACAACAGCAAGAAAATAGAGCATGACAAAAAGAGAGACGGGTCCAGGGTTTTTTATGGTAGCCGGGCATTCTTTTGAACCAGCTGTATATTTCTGCAAATTTTAGCAGAACATGAAAGACCTGAGAACTAGTACTTTTGACATTGATTTTAATTCCTTTCTTCTTTTTTTGTTCTTCTTAGTACTGTCTTAAAAACAACTTCATGGTGAAGAGCCTAGTTTTCTATGTAATTTAGTTTTTGATCCTTGAATTGACTTAAATGTTGAGTTCTGTAATTTATAAATTGTAACATTATCAGGTGAATAACCGATGAATTTCTCTGCAATTCAGTTGTTTAAATATATATATTAGCATTTTCATAAGTACATTCAATAATATATTAATCATCTTGAATTGGTTAGATTTTTTTTTTATCAAAAATCAAGTTTCAACTCGAATTAGATTATTCTCTTCTTAAAGCTTGTCCAATTTAACTTTCCACTTTTCAATTTTTGTTTATCCTGGGCGAACTCTTGCTCCATCAACTCCAACAACAAAGCTCTGGGGAAGATGTTCAAAGTAAAAAATGTTCAATGGCAGCCCCCCAACAAGGTTGGATTAATCTTAACACGGCGGAACAATCTCTCTAATTAACATCATCAGGCAGCAGGAGAGGTCTTCCGAGATAGTCATTACAAGTCTCTAATAAACAGTTCTTCAAACGGAACTATGGGTTGTTTATGAAGGTCTCTAGTTAGCTTGGTCCCCTCGTTTTGAAAAAAAATCATTACAAGTCGACAACGCCAATGTTTTCAAGCTCTTATCTTCCAATCACCACAAAGCCCTAATTCTCTAGTGAAAATCACGATTGTTGAAATATTTTTATACTTGTGGCTTAGGAGCACCGACATTCACTTTTTTTTTTTTTTGAGGAAAATGTTTTATTAAGAAAACATCACTAATTGAATGGAGCTTCTATTGCGTCCATCTATAAGAATTTCTTTGCCTTTTTTAGAAAAGTTAAAATACAAAAAATGTTTTTCATAACATTTATGTGTACTATAATTTTGAAAGATAAAAGATAAAATAGAACAGACGTTTGGATTTATTACCCACGTATCCTATCATTTTAATACTTTCTCGTCTACTCCGACATTATTAATTAGTGCATGTTATTGCAATCAAATCTCTGTTTTTTTTCCAATGTACTAATTAACAAGAAGATAAGAATGAAAAAGTAGACGATTAGAATATCATGATATGTTTGTTTTTGGGGTTTTTTTTTGGGTGGGGGGGGGGACAATTAATAATCACGATCAATGTGTTGAAAAAAATGCACCCACTAAAATCGTTGTGCTGGTGGTGGTGGGACACTTGAATTCACCCAGTTTCTTAGAAGTTGGGATGGATGTTAGTCTGATCTTTTGTCAATTCAACCCGACTTGAGAATAAAAAATTTTCTATTTGAGATTTGACCCGAATCGATTCGATATATAATTTAAAAATTCTGACTCGAAATAATAAAAAATATTATTTTTATTCAATAAAAAATGTGATTTAATTGAAAAAAAAATAGTATATAGAGGAGTATTATTGTAATTATTCCTATATATATATAAGGTAAAATTATTTTTTTCGGGTCGAGTCGAGTATTTTTCACCTTAAACCCGAACTCGACCCGACCCGACCCGACCCGAACATCACACTTAAAAATCCAACCTAACCCGAACCCAAATTTTTTTTAAAAACCCAACCCAATTATGTCGGGTCGGGTGCCATGTCCATCCTACTCAACATCCACTTAACGCAACCATCCTTGCAAAATATGATAAATCAAATGCATCATTTCAAATACAATATGAATACCACACTTGATAAATATTAAAAAAATGGTCAAATCATAGTTTAGATACAATATAAAATATCTTGGTTTTAAATACATGATTAAATATATTATACTTTTATTATAATTTGATATTTTAAATAAATAATATATATACATATCCATAAAAGTACAATTAATTTAATCAATACAATATATATACGGGATATAATCTTATTACACAAAATAAAATTATTTTAGTTTATATAGACCTAGGACTATTGAATTAGTGAAAACAGATGATTGAGATTAAGTAGGAAATGTGAAGATATTTACTGAAAAAAACAAAGAGTCAATCTCAGCTATCTATTTTCACTCGTCCAACGGTATTAAATTTATGTATAACTAAAAAGTTTTACACATTAGGATCCACTTGCACTGTGTAAAACTCTTTTAGTTTTATATTTTTTTTAAGATTGTTAGAGTGAGGAAAATAAAAAACTAAGATCGACTCCTTATTTTTCTTCATAAACATCTTATTTTTTTGTTATTAATCTTAATCTTTAATTTCTCTCCTCTAATAATCTTATTGGATTATGCCTCTCTCTATATAATATATTTATAACACATCATATCAAATAAATCCGTCTTACAGATTTGTTTTATTTGCTGAAGAATTAGAATCCAAAGGAGAACTTGAAAACATGGCATCAATTTTATTTACTTATTATACCAATGATGTTTAACACATCATTGTCCAATTTATTATCATGATATTAATTTTAAGGTCATGGAAAATCCTTCATGCTTGTTAGAAGATTGAATGAAATTACGGTCTTCAAAACGTTTAATTAGGTTATTAAGCATAATTCAATGATCAATTGAATCTGATTTTTATTAATCAAATTAGTTAGAAAATTAATTGCTAACTGAACTAATTTTTTTTAAAAAGATCAATTGAACATAACAAAATTCGATTAATTTAGTTGGTGATAATTTTAAAATTTAATTAATTTGAAGTATTTTTTTTATTTAGGTTAAAATTTCATTCGATTTTGACAAAAATAATTTTAGATAAGTTTGTACATTATCCAAGAGAAAAGTAGCCAAAAATGACTACAATAACAGATACAACTAGAATAAACAACTACTTACAAAATCACCCAATTAGCACATAATCTTATATTAACAAGATCATTCCCATCAATAATTGTTCCCCCAATCGAATCCGAACAACCTCCTTCGCAACGACCAAGACAATTGCAACCTCACGAGTTAGATGCCTGAATTGTCCAGTATATGACTCAAATCCAACTTCCCATCCCAACACAACACTCCCCTCCTCAATCCACACAGTCGCAACACATCGCCCCAAACATTCAAAGAAAAAATGGTTCCTACTTTCAGCTACACTGTTGCACAGAATACAAACGATCCTCTTATGACAGCAGCATGCGAATCAATCTATCCTTTGTAGGAATTTTGTCCAGTAGAGCCATCCATGTGATAATAGCATGTTTTGGAATGTGGATAAGGAACCACGCAACCCAATGCCAAGGAACCTTGGGATATTTAAGCCTCACCTCCTCCCAAATCAACCGAATCTTTACTCCAGTAAGATTATCCACTGCATCAAAAAGAGGGAAAGCCTCTCCCCTAAGGCTTTACAACTCCCTTAAACACCAACTGACATTAGGCTTCTCCTCAACATGTAAAAATCCCTCACCTTTAAGCACATACTTTGTAACAACCTAATCCAATACGACCCGAAGATCGATCGACCGACCAAAATATCACACGGGATGTAACCCTCTAGACCTGGCTTGGACGTTATGCACAAATATAGGCAGGTACATATCTTATTCAAAAATTTCTTTTCATATTTAAAACAACATTAAAATTCATATAACAATATAATATGAAATTAGTCATAAGAAAGGTTCATACAATAAACGTCTATATATCAATATATACATGTATCAGAAAAACCATATAAAATATATAAATAGCAAAATACTGGTAATTCAGATATATCGAGACGGTAGCAAAAACAAGTGTCACCAAAGTATAACAAAAAAGTATACAGAGATATACAGTGACACAAAAATAGGAGTAGTTAGTGTATAAAATCATACAGATAAAATGTTTCAGTAAAAACCAGTTTATCAAACATGTTTTAAAAATATGAACACTACCCCCATCCGATCACCAGAATGTGTAGGTTCCCCAGAACCTAGGTTCTCTAGAACCATACATCTACCTATACACCTAGTAAGGGCCTTATACGTATATCATAAGGACTTGTGGTAAGGATTTACCCTGAGCTCAAAACAGAGGAGCCTGCGGTAAGGACTTACCCTGAGCACAAAACAGAGGAGCTGTAACACCCCAATTTAGGGGCTAAATTTAAGAAAATATAAATTGGTAAATTTAATTGGTATTTTTGGAAGAAATCGGGGATTAAATTATAAGATTTCAAAGTTGGCAGACCGTTTTAAGAAGTGTAGGAAATTCAGTGGCTAAACCCATGATTTAGCCATTTTTATTTTGGAGAGAATTATAAATCTCTTCCAAGTATGTTTTCTGGAAATTTTTCTAGATTTTCCTCTTCATCAACCCCTCTTTGAACTCCGATCTACTCGCCGTCCGACCTCCGAAAGACGAGCCGAAACCACCATCGTGTTCGTTGTCGAGCGAGGAACAAAACCCCTCAAACCTTTTGTAGTGAATCGTCGCCGTTCGTCGTTAATTTCAGTCGAAAGTATAGTCGGTAATAACTCAGTTTTAGTTGGTTTTTCATCGATACACGATGATCGGGTCATCCGTTTACGACACCTCCCGCACCATCGTGTTCGTTGCATCGTTCCGAGTTCGTCAGTGTCATTATTGGTCTCCATAGACGGCGGCGCGTGAGGAGGTGAAGCGGTCAAAGTTTCTGATTCGTTGAAATCGAGCTCTCCGCAGTTCAAAAATTTGAACCGAGCTTTGTAAGTATCTTGAAATCGATTAAAATAATTTTTAAGAATTTTCCGTGATTTTTAGGCAGCCGGAAGGGGCCCCACGCGCCCCCACGCGCCGCCACTGCGCGTGGGGATGATCCAAATGACCGGTTTGACCGGTTTTGGTGCATAGTTAACCGGTTTGACCGGTCATAACCCGACCCAACCCGTTGACCTGACCCGACCCGACCCGTTGACCCGACCCGACCCGTTGACCGGCGTTGACCACTGTTGACCAAAACTTTGACCGGGCATTAAACGACCTTTGACTTCGACTGAGTATACCTATCCT